GGATTTTGCTCTTTTTTATAATGGCATTTATGGATTTTGCCATTTTTTGAAAAGTTTATTGATTTTGCCCTTTTTTTAGGTTCCAAAAATATGATTTAACATGCGTTTCATTTGTTTTTAGGGTTCCATTTGTTCCATTTGTTCTTAGGGTTTAGTATTTGGTATAATATACGTATTTTTGCAAAAAAAATCATAAATACGTACATTTTTAAGTATTAAAAAAGGGCAAAATCCATAAACTTTTCAAAAAAGTGCAAAATCCATAAATGCCATTATAAAAAAGGCAAAATCTGTAATAATCCCCTCGTATCAGTTGTGACAAAGATATACCTTTTTTGGTACGTCTATTAATTTGTTTTTGTTAAAGATACGTCTATTAAATTATTAATCAATGATCGTTATGGTGCCCATATATCATTTGTCGCCTTCCTATCTCCCCTCAAAATATTCTATTTTTTAAGGCAATAATAAATCAATCAAAGAGATATAATTGTTTATTCAATTAAAAAAAAACAAAAGATATACCAAGATTTTATGTAGAAGTTCTTTTGGTCCATTGATTGACTGATTAATTAATGCTTTTATACCAAGAGGTCTGGGGTTCGAGTTTCAGATTGTGCGATTTATTAATAAATTTGTAGATTAATGAAGGCAAGTGTGCAGGAGATCTCCAACGATGTACAATTATAGCCGTTCGCCAGAATTCTACGCAAAGAGAAAAATGTCGTCAGGTCATCAATCATTGAAGGTGTCCGTCAAGAGCATGAAGAAAGAAGTGTCGTCTATCGTGGATCTAATAAAGGTCAGAAAGAATTGTCCGTTGTAAAATCGTCTATGTAACAGTTCGCATAATTTGCAATAAATAATAAATTTAGATGAAAAAAAATATATCAAGATTGCTCAATTAGGAAATTGCCAACGTAAATCTATATAAAGTAAGCTTCTGTCAGGCACGCAAATAAAGGTGTGCATGTTATGAAAAAATTGGTCGGTCGAAGAACGATCTACGTTCCGATATTTAGTTTTTTTTTTTTTGGAATTATTTTCGTATATTATTAAGTTAACGTGGATTGCTAATCTTTGTATTACATACGCACGTAGTTTTTGAACCCAAAAATAAAAAACACGTAGTTAACTAGTTATATTTTTATTCATGGACCATGTGTGTATATATATATTTCACATCTCACACTTCAAATTTGTAACTATATATATGAATACAAATGTGGACACTAGATAAGATTTTATAAGATTTTTATAGATGATAAAGAAACGTGTATGTACGGTGGACAACATATATAATTAAAATTTCTAGTCAGTTAACACGGGATTCGAAGCAAAATTATGTCTTCTGCAAGGAGCGATACAAAATGCTTGGTCTCGAGGCTACAAAAAGATGATATTTGAGGAGATAATAAGATTTTCTCCAGATCTCCAGATTTATCTCCAACCTTCGTATGATGGTCCATTTTAGTCTAAAGCTACTAGATTTGTCATGCTGAAACTTTATGAATTTATTTACGTTTGTTTTGTAACAATGATCTTATTGTTATTATACATTCTATTGTGTGGATGATTTCAAATATGAGACGCGCGTTTCCCATTATTTTTATATTTGATAGATTAATTGATCTAGGAGCATGAACCATGGCGAGCCAAGTGTCGCTACATTTTGTTGACAATAGCCTGCCGGTAGCAAAGTCGCCGAAAATTTTAATGTTGGGGAAAGTGGTTTTGACGAGCTCAAAATTCAACAATTGTTTGTCAATATATTGCCGGTTCGGTCTGAAGAATAGATAAAACAAGTTATGATTTCGATGGGGAATTAGATTTTTAATGTTAATTGTTTTATGGTAAGGGGGGGGAGTCGTAGGGAGAAATTTTTGTTCCTTTATATGTATATATCAACAAAAAGCATAACGAATACATGAATCTTAGGTATATTATTTTAATTTTGCATCATCCGACAATGTTCCCCTCTACTACGCGAATTTATTAGTAAAGGGAAACCAATAGATTTATATATATATATATATATATATATATATATATATATATATATATATATATATATATGAAAATTTAAATTAGGCCTATACACACATGCATTCCCTTTTTTTTTTTTGTGGCTCAACAAAATCTTCACCTTTATTTGGTTTTAAATTTTTAATCAAACTCTACAAAATCTTGCATGCACTAGAAGCCACATCCGTCATACTTGTTCTATTTTTTTTTTTTTTTTGGTAAAAAATTAGGGTTTTTTTTGGTCTGATGAAGAAAGACAGAGTAAGAGTGAGAGAGAAAGAGGAAAAAGCAGAGTATCCGTCATACTTGTTCATCTAGTATTAGTTGTTTATCTAGAAGGCACGTCCCGAATCTTCAGGATATGTTTTGATTATGGTTTTGAGGCTCTACTCACGAATTTTTTTTATGTATTTCTATTATATTTTTGTACCGGGTTTGTTCATCTCGAAATTCGTTTGTCTTTGTGGCACCTAAACTTATAACTACCAAAATCTCGCATGCGCTTACAGTTATATAAAATTAGATATATTACTGATAATTTATATTACATTGTTACCAAAAAAAAAAAAAAAATTATATTACATTTTTTTTTTGTTAAAGATAATTTATATTACATGATTTGGGATATATATATATACATATATATATATATATATATATATATATATATATATATATATATATATATATATATACTCAACTCAGATCGACAAACTATGATTAACAATTAACATATAACTAACATATACACAAATCGCATATGTGATTGTAATCTTCTATATACAACGTATTACGTATGTAACTATGTATGCATGCCATGAATTTTACAAATAAGAGAATCATTTCTTGGTAAGACTTTTCTTTGATATTATGAAAGAAGCAGCCAAATTACTATATTTTTTCCGCTCCACCAAGTCAATTGATAAATTTCGTGCAACTAAGAAAAATATCTGCATTTTAAGCTTAGTCGTATCATTAGAAATATAAATATAGAAGTCAAATTCTTATTTTCCTTTTCGCTAATCAGATTACGTTTAAGATATGTATTAGAGTTATTTGGCTGGGTGTACGTTAACGTGGGAGGAAAATAGCAAGTATTTCTGATTAAAAAGTCAAGAGCAATACATGATCGTCTGTATACGTATCCATTTAATTACTAGTCGATATATATATATATATATATATATATATATATATATATATTTATATATTTATATATTTCCCTTTTATTTTGTGTTTATTTTCGTCAACAGATGGTTGCAAGTTTGCAGCTATCATAAGTCATAAGCCTAGTATTTTACACATATATCAGTGTATGTATTTCTCAGAATCAAGTTAACAAGTTAAACAAGAAAGGAGGTTAACCAGGTTGTAGCTTATAATAAATAATATTTGTATGTAGAAAACAAAAGAAATACAAAAATGCATGATGCTAATTATTATAAAAATTGAAAAAGCTATATGCAAGAATATTAAAAAGCATATTATTTGGAACTTAAAAAATCAAATAAATAACTCAAATGTAAGTAATATAGTGGTAAAACTTCTCATACCTCAAAAAAGAATCTGTTTATAAGTAATCAGTATGACATTTTTTAGGGAGATAAACTATTTAAGTTTCGAAAAAAAGACGCGGGCAAAAATTCTTCGATTAACCATATAAAATATTTTTATTAATAAATTTGACATTTTATCAAAAAAAAACAATATAAAAGTAAAACCTTCGTATAATTCTTTTCACGAAAACTTAAAAGATAATAGATAATAATTAATCCCGATGTTTTTATTAATAATAGAAAATTTTAATATGATTAAGTAGATTTGGGAGTCTTAGCATGTTGAGCCAAGACACCAGATAATTTTTTATGTAGTACTAATTAGCATGTAGTTTATTTCTTATCCTCAATAAATTATTTTTAATATATATATATATATATATATAATATATACACTTTAAATCTAGAATGCCACATCTTCATGACTTTAGTCAATTTCAGTTGTAGTTGTATTTTTAGTTTTTAACTCAAATTCCAATATAAGAACATTTTGATAAAAAAAAATTTATGATATAAATGCAAATAATAAGACAAAATTCTCAATATAGAATTTTTTAAACAATTTTATCATATTAATCAAAAGAAATTTCAATATAGAAATATAAAAAAATCTATCTCATTCTATATGGGCATGTCTATGTGTAATAAGATACTACAGACACGTAAACAAATATATAGTACTATTTTGAATAGCAATTACATTTATAACTTTAAATAGAAAGACTACATATGTAGAAAATAAATCTCAATCTTCAATCTCGTTTAGCCATTTGTCATGATATTTGTATGTATATATCCTATATAATATCACAAATATCATGTTCATATAGTAAAAAACCTAAGAAAAATATAATTTACCAAAACAAAAGAAATAAGTAAAACTAGTCTTCGTAGTTATCTATCTGAATTATTCATGATAATGATATCATTCCCACTCTTTTATTCTCTCTACTATTGGGGAAAAAATAAAAATAATTCTTTCTACTATTAAAAAAAACGTGTTGTTTGAGAAACAAAAAAAAATCTAAAGAAATATATAGTTGATGTTAATTGATATAACATATATCTGAAATTAAATATTTGATGACAAGAACGTAAATTTAAAAACCAAATAGACTTTTAAAGGGTAGACTTTACCCCACATTTGTCTCTCTCTACTTAAGCCAAATTGCTCTTTTCTTTTGTTTTCTCTTTTTAATTAGACTTTATAAACAAAACTAATTAACCAACTTTTATCATAATAAAAAAAAGAAAGAGAATTGTTATTTTTTTGGCAACAGAACTAATTTATGAACCAAATTAATCCATTTGAATGGCCATCCTCTCTTTCTCTCTCTCTTTAATTAGTTGGTTTGGTCAAAATCTCTTACACGCTCTTTATGCATGCTCTTCGACACGTGCTATCTTCGTCTCTCTCAAATGAGCTGTCTTTCTAATAAGAGTTTCTTCTGTATTGGAAAGGAAGCGTTCTCTCTCTCTCTCTCTCTACTTATGAGTTATGAGACGAGCCTATAAAACCCCTTCACATCTCCCACTTGTTTTGCATCACAAACATTTCTTCCATTACATTATAACAAAAACACAAAAATTTCATTTTTGTTTTTCTTATAATTTTAGAGTCACAAGTTCTTCGTTGTTCAGCTACTCCCACTGTCAAAAACACGAAGTGGGTTTTTCTGATCAAAGAACAAAAAACTTGAGGTTATTAAGAAAAAAATGGATTTCTCCGCCTTGTTTCTCACTCTCCTCGCCGGAAGTCTCTTCCTTTACTTTCTCCGGTGTCTAATCTCTCAGCGCCGCCTTGGATCTTCCAAACTCCCACTCCCTCCGGGAACAATGGGTTGGCCTTACGTCGGAGAAACTTTCCAGCTTTATTCTCAAGACCCAAATGTCTTTTTCCAAACAAAACAAAGAAGGTCTGTCCTTTAAGAACCTAAAAATTGTTACTAATGGATACTTTAGAAAACAAATTTTAATAAATTTGATGATGCTTTTATAACAGGTATGGATCGGTGTTTAAGACCCATGTATTGGGATGTCCATGTGTGATGATCTCGAGTCCAGAAGCTGCCAAGTTCGTGCTGGTGACGAAATCTCATCTCTTTAAACCGACTTTTCCGGCGAGTAAAGAGAGGATGTTGGGGAAACAAGCCATCTTCTTCCACCAAGGTGATTACCACGCTAAACTCAGGAAGCTTGTTCTTCGTGCTTTCATGCCTGAATCTATCAGAAACATGGTTCCCGATATCGAATCAATCGCTCAAGATTCTCTCCGAATTTGGGAAGGAACAATGATCAACACTTACCAAGAAATGAAAACAGTAAGCCTCTCTCTCTGTCCTCTGTTTTTTTCCCCCTGTTTTTTTAAAACAGAGCATAACGCTAATATCCTCTGTTTTGATCTTGTTTTGTTTGATCAGTACACCTTCAACGTTGCGTTGCTATCGATCTTCGGTAAAGACGAGGTTTTATACAGAGAAGATCTAAAACGATGCTACTACATTCTCGAGAAAGGTTACAATTCGATGCCGGTGAATCTCCCTGGAACACTCTTCCACAAATCAATGAAAGCTCGCAAGGAGCTCTCACAGATCCTCGCTAGAATCTTATCAGAGAGAAGACAGAACGGTTCTCCACACAACGATCTTCTCGGATCATTCATGGGAGACAAAGAAGAGTTAACCGACGAACAGATCGCCGACAACATAATCGGAGTGATCTTCGCCGCTAGAGACACGACGGCGAGTGTGATGTCGTGGATCCTCAAGTACTTAGCCGAGAATCCCAACGTTCTAGAAGCCGTTACTGTAAGTACATATACGGACACGTATTTGTCGTCTTTTGGTAATAAAACAGACCAGTGGCAGTTTCGTAGTTTTGTTTGTTTTCTAATGGGTAGTTTTGGTATTTTCATCAGGAAGAACAAATGGCAATAAGGACAGACAAAGAAGAAGGAGAGGCTCTAACTTGGGGAGATACAAAGAAGATGCCATTAACTTCAAGAGTTATTCAAGAAACATTAAGAGTCGCTTCAATCCTATCTTTCACATTCAGAGAAGCTGTCGAAGATGTCGAATACGAAGGTACTAATATACGATTAAACCGATAAATAATCGCATGATCCCGAGTCGAATTTCGAACTATAATATTCTATGGTTTTACAGGTTATTTGATACCTAAAGGATGGAAAGTGTTACCGCTTTTCAGAAACATTCATCATAGTGCTGATATTTTTTCAAATCCGGGGAAATTTGATCCATCAAGATTCGAGGTAATTATCATTTTTTTGAATAATAGTACTGTTTTTAATGCCTCATACTATGATGTTACATATAACATTATTTGGTTGCTAATATAGGTGGCTCCAAAACCCAATACTTTCATGCCATTTGGTAATGGAACCCACTCGTGTCCTGGAAATGAATTAGCAAAGCTTGAGATGTCTATTATGATTCATCATCTCACCACCAAGTACAGGTGTGTGTGTACTACTTACTTATTACCTTCTCCTTTCTTTTTTTTTTCTCTCCTTTTCAAATTTATGTGTAGAAGTGGTTTTAATAAGGGGTATTTTTGTAATTTCAGTTGGTCAATTGTTGGAGAGAGCGACGGGATTCAGTATGGGCCATTCGCGCTTCCCCAAAACGGACTGCCCATTGTGTTGGCCCGGAAGTCGGAGATTGAAGTGTAGAATGACAGAATTACCCTTTAGCTTTCCATATTTGGAAAGAAGAGACTAGAGAAGAATAACTAATTATTTCTTAGAGATGGAGAAAAAAAAATTGTTCAAGATTTTGGTAGGAAAAAATTCCCCAAATGGGATTAAGAGGAGAAAGCACCAAGTGTAAAAAAAACTTCAATTTTTTTCTTAATTTTAATTTAGTTTTTTGGAGTTTCTACTTTTAGTTTAAGATTGGAAAAATTAGTAATTGAATTTTTAAAAACAGGGGAAAAATGTTATATATATAAGTCTCTCATGTATTATTTTGTTTTTCCCGAAAATATCTTATGGATATGTTAACTGATTGAGACTTCCCTTGTTTTTTGAATATAGTTTTCTTGTTATAAAAAATATCTGTTTTAGTGAACCGTATTGATAAATGATAATATTGAAGACATCCCAAAGCAATATTCTACAATTTGGTGATTGTTTCTCGTATTACAAAATATATTATTTACCAATAAGGATGACAGAAATAACTTGGTTCAGAAGAATTGAATCTAAATATCTAAAAGTCAAACTATTGAACATGTTATTCAAATCAAGATTATTGTTCATATATCTTCTGTATACGATTTTTACTTCTATAATGTAGATATTATTATGTGTTGTTAGTCAAGTCATTGCACCATTCTAAGAATTAATGATTTGGTGTTTTCGAAATATTGGAATTTTAACATGCTTTAAAGTCCTTGGACTAAGCTAGTTGGGTCAAAGAAACTCCATATACTTTGGTGAAAAGGTAAAACAAACAATATAAATTAATTAAATACCAAAGTAACCTGGTTTTTACCGTACCGGGTAGTTATCAAATGGGCTACACATGTTGACAGAAAAAAGAACTCAAAAATCAAATAGGGTTCTTTAATAATGGTGCAACTAGGCTAGCCATGCATGAATCTCTCAAAATGCACTTAGGACTAAATACGTTATTGTCACTAGTCGTAAATATGTGTATCTGACTGACTATCTGAGAAAAAGTTAATTATCCTAAACGATCGAAAAAGGTTTATCTGTTTATTTGTCAACCAATGATTATTCAAAAATTTAGATTACTACAAGTGTGATTGATCCTAACAAAAAAATCAAGAATTTCAGGCTATATTAACTACACCTACCACATCATTTTTTCGTAGACTCGGTAACCATATCAATGATGACTATAGTAGTATCGCCACAATCATTATAGTCATATTTTTTAAAAGTTTTTTTTTTATTTGACCATCTGATAATTATTAAGTAAAAAAAGTAACTAAGTATAGAGTTAAACCCAGAAGCCAAATTAAAAGAGAGACATAAACAAAAAGACATAAACGAAACTACAAAAACTTTAACTTTGCTCTCCTCAAACACTTGATGGTGCTATGTAAAGTGATAACATGGGATTTTCGCCCATATTTGTTATTGTTTTATGATGTTTTAGGAAGTGTTTGGTGTGATTTAAAGGCCAAAGAGGAGATATTCAAGTATTTATGGAGTCAAGAAGGTTTTAGGAGTTTCTAAGCAAAATGGACCAAAAGACGAGCAAAACCCGTTTTCAGGACAGATTCGAAACTCCAGAAGTTAGGCGTCCGTTGGAAGCCTTTCCTTTAAGCAAATTTGGAAATATTGAACTCTATGGAAAGCTGAAAGAGTCAAGATTACAATGGAGGAAGAATCAACTCAATCCAAGCTTCCAAATAGAAGTTACAGCCGATTGAAGTCAGCCTGTCAGAGACCGGTCGCAAGGCGTGCGACCGGTGGTGAAGCTCCTGGCTGGTCCGGTCACAACACCACGTGACCGGTCTGGAGCTTCTTGGTGATTCTGGTCATGAAGCCTCGTGACCTATCCAAGCCAACTCGTCCCTGCACTTATCAAAACGACTTAGTTTTGCCGATAAAACCCTAAACCGACTTGATGCTTCACGAGGCCTATAAATACAAGCTAAAACCCTAATTAGGGGTGTGCCTCCGGTGTCCTCAACCTCCATCACCAGAAGCCTCCTAGAGGCGACCAGAGAAGCCTCCAAAGCTCCCTCACCGCTGTTCCTCTCCGATAGCCCCCGTTGAAGCCGCCGATCATCACCAACCTTTCTCTTCATCTCTTGTCTCTGTTCTCTACTTGTTTAAGGAAGAAGAATCATAAACTCTGGATTTCCAGAGAAGATCTCTAAACCCTTTTTCTATACTCATACTCTTTTATGCAATTTCTTATTCATATGATGTTGTGTTCTTTGAGTATGTGTGAGTAGATTTCTTGTTGGGTTTAGGGGTTTTCAAAGGGGATTCATGGATCTGTTTTCTAGGGTTCTTAGATCTATATTTAGGTCATTTTTGTTCTTCGTTCTAGGTTTGTTCTTAATGCATATTGCTTGAATAGCTAACTTGCAATTGATCTCTTAGGTAGGTTTATGCATCACAAGTGTATAGATCCGCGTTCACTAGCTTAGATGTGAGTATCGTGTTATAACAAGCACACACCACTTAGTTATATCGCTTTACGAACTATAATCGAACTCGTTAATCATGCTGGTTTAATCTCGTCGTTGCATGCGTTAGTTTAGTAACAGAGTTGTTAGACTTAGATAGTCGTTTGATCATAAGCCAAACGGTTTTACATAAGTGTTTCTTAGTTCATGAACTGTTTAATAAGCATAGGTTTACCTTTGTTTAAAATCCTAGAATAACCCGATCCGTGATACCCTGAGAATTCCCTGAAACCCAACTTCTCGTTTATTGATAACTTTAATCGTTTTATTTGCTTTTATTTTCTGTTTAGTTCAGTGACAACCCAAAAACCAAACCCCTACTTTTGATTTGTCTTAGACATATTCTTTTTCTATTGAATTCGTATTGTGCTTATAAGTCTGTGTGGGATCGATCCTTAAATACTACAACCGATTAACTGTGCACTTGCAGTATTTCATGTAGTCTCTAAGGGAAAACTTTGAAGCGAAATAAAACACGCATCATAAGGGTCTGACTTGGTGAAAACATGAGAAGAAATGAGTAGAATTATACATAAGAAAGCGTTATTTTAGAAGAAACTTTTCTTCTGTTATTTTGAAGAGAGATAAAATCTTCTTGTTTTACTCTGCTTTTTGACTTTTCAATAAAAAAAAATTATTTTCATTTTCTTCTAACTAGTAAATACCTATGTTGCATGGAAACGGGAGCGGGTATGCGGAAACGGAATCGTTTAGAAGCGCTGAAGCGATTTTTTAGAAAATTTTACGGAAGCGGTACGCGATGGAAGCGTATAGTATATATAAAGAATATATATATATATATATATATATATATATATATATATATGTATATATATATAACTATATATTAAACATTATATCATATTACAAGTTATATTAACCCCATAAATCTAATAAATAAATTTTAAAAAGTAAATTTAAAAATTAAACCAATTTTTACAACAAACAAAATCAAATAATTCAAGAAAAAAATTATAACACTATATTCATTCTTTTTTTAAATAACATCAAACAAAATCGTTTCAAATTATGTATATTATAGGTAAAAATATGATCAAACTCAAGTCTCTCGAAATTAATCTAAATTAATTAATCATTTATAATATCTCTCACATATTAGATTCATGTCATTGCTATTTTCTAAACATGATTTTGTTAAAAATAAAATACAAAGATTAGTATGCAAAATTTTTAGTTTGAGTTTGTTTGATTAAAAATAATAATTTCATGTTTTATTTGTAAAATTGAATTTATAAAATGGAAGCGCAAGCTTCCAAACCGGAATCGTAAGCTTCCAACGAGCTTCCAAAGTTGAATTTTTGGAAATGCGATGGAAGCGAGATTCCGAAAGCTTCCAAGAGCTTCCGATTCCGACTAAGATTCCGAAGCGGGAAGCGGACCTCCGACGAAGATTCCGTGCTTCCTAGGTAAATACATAGATGAATTCAGAATAATTAAAATTATACTCATCTCTTTTCTTCTAAAAACGCCTACCTGTCAGACCCTAAGACTAAAACCTTCTGTCTCGAATCACACTCCGAGAAATAGATCGCGCGATCAGATTTGCGTTTGTGGCAATGTGACAGAATGTACAAGATTCAAATGCACCAGCAACCTCATAGATTTGTGTTAACCAATTTCTATAGAAAGGCCATTTTTTAAAAGTTAATTTATTAGATTGACGTGAAAAAAGAAAACCCCGACTTTATTTCAAATAATTTGACGGACGACTTTGACCATCATCACCCGTGAATTATGTATGTGGCCATCGTCGCTGTAATTATATTACTTTTTCAACGTATTATTATTTTATCTAAATTTTCACTGGTGAGGTATATAAATCAATCTTTTATGATATTATAATATACCATGATTGAGAATATTGAGGAACAGCTGTAATTGCTTCCTCGATGAACAATATCAAACGGGGCTATCAATTTCTAGTCACTTTCTTCTGTCTTATTATCATTTTTATTTAAATTATGTACTTATGTTCAGATATTTTCTTTCTAAAGAAAAAAAATTAAAAGCAAATAGTACTCATAGATTTTCTAATGGACATTGGACAAGTGAACCAACAACATATGATATATATAATTCGGTAAGAAATTTTTTCTCATAGATTTTCTCTCTAAATTCGTTTTCTCTCTAAATTTTAATTAATTGTAGAATTTTACTTTATATATATTACAAAAATATATACGTGATAAAGTAAACAAACATCATTTGAGCATTATTATTATGTTTACTTGTTTTGGGGACTTTGTATTACTTTACGTCATATTGTTGTCCTTTAAATGTACTATGCTCCATGATTTTCACGTTCATCTTCTAAATCTAGGATACTATAGATATTACATGATCGATGGTCCCGAATATGCCGGTCCGTGTAATGAGATAGTATTATTATGTTTTTACATGAGATGGTATTCATGGTCCATGGAGAACTTGCAGATGTGAATATAGTTGTTTTTTTTTCCTCATATTACTTGATGTTACAGTTCGAATTTTTTGAAATTTATAGTTCAATAAAAGTATCAAATATTATTTAATTAATTTACTCTACAAATTTGTTCGTAAAAAGATGAATTTTTTTTTAATATCAATAAGAGGTATCCATAAATTTATATTTTTAACTCCATAATGATAAACTCTAGGTATTGGAAAAACATCTATCCATTCACATGTAGAAATCAAAATCACAACTACAAGTCTACAACCAATTACAAATATCTAACATGAAAGACTGTATTTTAATTTGTTTCAATAATATATATATATATATATATACATATATATATCTTTGTTTCGTAAGACTTATCTATAATAACAATATTTGAGAAGTGTTTTTGCTGACGTGTCGGACTCTCGGCTCTTGTTGAG